TGGGCAATCCTACTTCCGTAGTGATACTGCCTCGGAAACCCAAGGAGGGGTCACTATGAGTCGGGGCCGACTCGACGGCACATAACAACAACAAAAGTAAACGCTATATAGCAGAAGAAAAGGAGATTATGATAGTTGGAGACAGATGGTAAACATAGCTATTCTAAACTGGTATCTTCTAGAGCTTTTCAAAAAGACAAAGTATTGTTTTGGTAATGGACAAATGGCACATTGATATGAAAAGGTAAAAGAACTGATAAAAAAGGTAAATGAAAGTAACATATAATAAACCTGGAGTATTTGAGAGGAGTGCTGCCAAAAAGCTAGGAACCCAAACAAAAAAGCCGTGGAGCAATGTCTTTTCCCTAAAAATGTCTTTGACTGTTAAGAAAAACAGATGTCAGAGAACAGATAATGGAATGGATATAGTAGAGTAGAGAAAGGAGGAAACCAAAAGAAGCAAGGGGAAAAAAGAATCCTTTAAGGTGCTCATCCTAAAACCACTTGGAGGAGAGACACTGAAGCTTCCACCCAGGAGCACTCCGACAGGAGGAAAATTATTTCCCTTTATCCTCATGACTTTTGTAGTTGACTTTATTAGTTAAGAATATATACAGCCTATTATTGCTTCAAGTCAGTACACATTATGTATGTGCCAAAATGTTTTAATCTCTGTATCATTATCTGTCAGTTATTTTTTGCAGGTGAAAATTTTTAATATACAAGTTGCTTTATGCAAAGTGTGCAATGTACAAAAAATTACAAAGATAAACACATCTTCTCCAAGGTAAGCTGATAACTTAAACCATCATGCTTCAGCATTTAATGTCCCATTAAATAGCTATACTTGGGTCTCCCTTAAAGCACTCCAGGTTTTATAAAAGACATTTTGAGAGCTCAAGGAAGAGTCCCCACTAGAGGGCATTCAAACCATTTTAGTTTGTGGCCATAAGGTCAAGCTTTAATACAGAGATACACACATTTATCTATTCAGATTTTTTAAAAATAAATAAATAAATAAATAATATATATAGGGAAAGTTGCTCATGCTATATACTTCATAAGCAGTTTTCTGCAATTACCCAAAATGAAGACTTTTGCTTCATGTCTTTTTTCCTCTTTTGCTTTTCACAGAAGTTTCTTTTCCCTGGAGATAAAATTAAAATGATTCACCTCATACAGATATAAAGCTGTTGTGGCTGTTGCTCTATCCAACAACATAAATGTCCATCCAATCTCAGGATTGAAAACTGGCTGTTACTCTCCCTGATGTTAAGCAGTGAACTGTAGATAAATCAAGTTGGACACCAGTTCTTTTGCTATATAGTCAACCTCAGGATTGTAAGAGTTCTAGAATATTCAAAATAACTTAGAGTATAAGTAGTTACATTTCTTATCTTTGGAATAGACTATTACCTTTTTTCATTTTCCAGCTTGTTCAAAGCTTTTTCTTAGACAATTATGACTCATATCTTGTTGCTTTCCCAGCCTATTAGATGGTTTTCACAATGTTGAACTCAATGGTTGAAGGTACCTCTGATGAGCTGTGTCATATCCTTCTTCTATTCTTTCTACTCCTGGTTCACACTCCAACTGAGAACTCAGGGCATTTAGCAGAGACAAGGAAGCTAGCTAAATGGAAGTGAGAACATCTATACATTTCAAGTTCTTGAATTCTGCTACTGTTATACATTGATTTTAAATAATAAACAATAGAAAAATGATTTCCCAGTCCTACCACTCTGCTGAAGTTGTGGGGAAGGGAGAGGGATTCCAGGCTGACCACCCTCCTGTTTAGGCTCTAGGCTCTATCTTCTTTGGCCAGGACCTAGGCTGCCAGAAATACCAATGGAAAACACCCTAAGGGTGAATGCCAGTTCCACTGCTGATTACCTCTGTTAATCAGTACTTTCTACCTACTTCTAGTCTTCAAGGAATTATTCCCCCACTCTTATGCCCACTTTTTCAGATAATTTTTAAAAAATATGTTTTTAATATTTGGCAAACTTTTTAATTATTTAGTTTTATCGTTTTTACTTTTTATTGTGATCTGGTTGATCAGTTTTCAATTTGCAGTGAGAGGTCAAACAGTGATCACGGAAATGGCTTGGAATGTCATCCAGGTGGTATATGAGGAATGACTCTCCTAAAGCCCTTTTATTCTTCGGCATTTGGACAACTTACAACTATTTCCTATAAACAAAATGTCTAACATCCACCTGGAAAACATGAAGCATTTGTAACTCTTAGTTTATGCATGGTTCTTTTAATAAAATTCATTAACTGGCAGAGTCTTATATACGCTGATCACTTTGTTGTTGTTATGTGCCATTGAGTCGGACCCAACTCACAGAGACCTCTCCTTGCGTTTCCAAGGCAGTATCACTAAGGAAATAGATTGCTCAACCTTCCTTCCGAAGAGTGGCTGGTGAGTTTGAACTGCCAACCTTCTGGTTAGCAGTCAAGTGCTTTAGGCACTATGCTACAAGAGCTCCCCTTGATCACTTTAGTTCTAATGTAATGCATGACAAACTTGGATTGAACTTGCTGCTAGTTTTTAAAACATAAGAATGCATTTATTAATCACCTGCGATGTTCTCAAGCATCATATTATGAAGGTCTTCAGGTAGTGCATCTTGATTGCATGTTTGATCAATTTCAGACTGCAGAAGTTGGTAAAAATCTTCAATTTCTTCATCTTTGGTATTAGCGATTGATGTATAAGTTTGAATAATAGTGGTATTAACTGGTCTTTCTCATAGGTGTATGGATATTAGCCTATCACTGATAGAGATATACTTCAGGACAGATCTTGAAACGTTCTTTTTGACAATGAATGCAATACCGTTCTTCTTCATGTTGTCATTTCCAGCAGAGTAGATCATATGATTGACTCAAAATTGCCACCACTGGCCCATTTCAGCTTTCTAATGCTTAAAAAAACCTACTGCCATCAGGTCAATTCTGACTCATATGACCCTATACGATAGTGTAGACTTCCCCACAGGGTTTGCCAGGCTATAAATCTTTACAGAATCAGAGTACCTCATTGTTCTCCCATAGAGCAGGCTGGTAGGTTCAATCCACTGCCCTGAGTTGGTTAGCAGCTGAATGCATTAATCACTGTGCCACCAGAACTCCTCCACTAATACCTGTTGCTCTTGTTGCTGTTACATGCCATCGAGTTGGACCTGACTCATAGCAACCCCTCCTTGGGTTTCCAAGGCAGTATCACTCTGGAAGTAGATTGCCCAGTGCCTGTTGTTGTTGTTGTTAGGTGCCGTTGAGTCACTTCCAACTCATAGCGAACCCATGCACAGAAGAATGAAACACCGCCCGATCCTGCACCAGCTCCATGATCCTTGCTATACTTGAGCCTATTGTTGCAGCCACCAAGTCAATCCATCTCGTTGAAGGCCTTCCCCTCTTTCGTTGACCCTCCACCTTACCAAGCATGACGTCCTTCTCCAGGGAATGGTCCCCTCTGACAACATGACCAAAGTAGGTGAGACGAAGACTAGCCATCCTTGCTTCCAAGGAGCATCTCAGCTGCACTTCCTCCAGGAAAGATCTGTTAGTTCTTTTGGAAGTCCATGGTACCGTCAGCACTCTTCGCCAGCACCATAACTCAAAAGCATCAACTCTTCTTCGGTCTTCCTTATTCACTGTCCAGCTCTCATGTGCATACGAGGTGACTGGAAATATCATGGCCTGTGTCAGGCACACCTTAGTCCTCAAGGAGATATCCTTGCTCCTCAGCACTTTAAAGAGTTCCTTCACAGCCGACCTACCCAGTGCTACACGTTGTCTAATGTCTTGACTGCTGCTTCCATTGGCCTTGATTGTAGAACCAAGCAACGTGAATTCTTTGACAACCTCAATCTTTTCTCCATTTATCATGATGCTGCTTATTGGTCCAG